AAATTTCAGGTTAATGTTCATATGTTGTGATATTGCATATCATCGTGTATCAGTCAACCAAATGCTCAGGTTGACTGAACATTTCTATTTAAAATTTAAGGTTGTGACCCACTTTCTTCTTACATCCTGTCTGCTCAAACACATACCTTACTTAGTCTTTCAGGTTTTCAGCCTGGCTCTGCCACTCACTTGCCTTGTGATGAAGAGCTTTAGGCAAGAGCTCTGAGCCTCAGTTTCCTCATTGTAAATGAAGCGACCATGCCAATCTCAATTTTTTAAAAGATTTTATTTGTCAGAGAGAGAGTGAGCGAGAAAGCACAAGCAGGGAGAGCAGCAGGCAGAGGGAGAAGGAGACTCCCTGCTGATCGGGGAGCCCCATATGGGACTCGATCCCAGGACCCTAGATCATGACCTGAGCCAAAGGCAGATGCTTAAGCAACTGAGCCACCCAGGCACCTTATACACACACACACACACACACATACACATATGTATATATGTATATATATATATGTATCTATATATATTTTTTGCTAAGACGAATTGACTTCATGTTTATAAAAGTATTGAGCACAACTCCCAGTATGTAAAGAGTGTTTAGTAAATGTTATTTCCTTCTTCCTTGTCTTTGAATATATTCCTTGTAAAGTGTTTTAATTGTTGGAAGTCCTTTCCTATATGGCACACAATTCAGATGGTTAAGAAATGTGCAATGATCCCTTTCAAATATATGAAAAAAACGCCATCTCTGAGAGGTCGAGCGATTTGCTCAGAGTTGCACAGCAAATTGGTGCAGGACTAGAAGCCTGGCACCTAGTCCTGTGATCTTTCCAGAAACTTCTGTCTGTTGCAGCCCCTGCCTCCATGTGAATGAAAGCAGCTGGTGCGTGGTCCGCCCCAAACCAATTCCAGTCCTTCGGTGCCTCCTCCCAGCCTTCCCTTCACTGAAGCTGCCGCTGCAGTCCCATCTCACTTCTCAAGAACTTCCCTCTTCCTCCACCTGGGGCTGGGTGTTCGGGGACCAATAATCTGCACGGCATCTGAGTCCAAACGAATTGGGAGGGAATGTTCTTTTCAATGAAAGCGTTGGATTAGACACCACCATACACGTTATGTTGTTAAATATCTACAGCATGATAAAATCATCCCAAATGTCACGAATCCCTGGGGGACTTATTAATAATTAAGCATTTTTAGTTCACTTAGGAATGCAGATTCCATTTAACAAGAGAACGTACACTAAATATGTCCCTTATATTGCAACTTGCAACAGCATATGTTGGAGATCGCAGCTGGGTTTCTCCAGGACAGATGACAAAGTTAGCGCAGGGATCAGTCTTTTCTAAAGGCAGCACGTAAGAGCCAAAAGTAGCATCCTGGATTGGTTTATAGGGTTTGTGTTTATTAGAAGTGTTTATTAGAATGACTAATAATGGAAGCCAGCCGACTTGGCAAGGGCTGGGGGAGAGCCAGGAGAAGCCCGAAGGAAGTGGGATGATCTTGCAGAATATAGGGCAAAGCAGAGACCCGGGGCCGTCAGTGGCGTCAATCATCAGTCCCCACTGTCATTATTCGGCTTTTAAGGACCGCAATAGGCAAAGAAGGTGCCCTTCTATATATTCCACTTAACGGGAAGGCCATTTACGTTTTTCTTTAGCTTATTCCCAAAAGATACATGGCCCTGGTCCTACACACACACACACACACACACACACACACACACACACACACAGGAACAGCCACTTTTCTTTCAAAAGCAGTTTTCTTTATTTGCTTTGTTTTACTTTTAAAGATATCTGATTCTCTTTTCCTTTTCTTCTCTATTTCCTGGGCAAAATCAGAATACTGAATATCTTGAAAGAAAAAAAGGGAAGCTTGCAAATAGGTTGCCAATCTTCTTTGTGTCTTTCAGAGATTAATGGTTTTTTCTCTTTTCTCCGAGGCCCACCAAAGAAGGTCCCTTTTGAAGAAGATCAAGGAGGAGAGACAGAGACAGAGAGAATGAGGGACAGAGAGAGAGAGAGGGAGAGAGAGAGGAAATCTGGGGAAATTGGTTGATACAGCCTTTAGTTCTGGGGCTTTTCTAACTAGCTTTGCAATGTGTGATATTTTGGGCATGTTATTTAAACTTTTTCTCTAGGTTCCTTTTCCTACCAATAGAAGTTATCATGATTTAGAAAACCCTTGCAGCCTTAACATACCCAAAATCTAGGCTTGAAGCAGAAAGAAGCCTTCCTCTCAATGGCACCTGGAGAATTTTGCAACCTTCACACAGAAAAGAACTGTGGATAAATTTTTCCACTTCCTTGTTTCCTGTCTTGAGCTACATGCAAATCATGCCGCTTCTTTACTCCCTCACTTAAAGCACCTGCCAACCTAATAAAAGAGCCATAAATTTAGCCATAAGGGCCCCAATAAAAAAGGATCCTCTCCTGACCAGGAAGGTCAGTGGGACAGGCTGTCACCAGGAAGTAGAAACCACAGGGAAGATTGTTGTCATGTCTGTTGTGACCAGCCTGGGTGCCGAAGGACTCTGCAAAGCTGAGAAGCAGCAGAAATTCATGTGGCTAGCTGACTTGGCTCACTTTGCAGCCTTTTCATTTTCATCCTGATGTCATTAAGGTTCAAGATGCAGCTGGAACTGCTTCTGGGAGACTTCCGGTCAGGAAAAGGTGTGTGTATGTCTACTGGAATCGTTCCCCGAGAGTCTCTGAAACCACTACTTCCTATTATTGGATATAGGGTCTGGGCGGGTGGGCTGAGTCGAGATTCCCAACAAACTCTCAGAAAGAACGGACATGGGAAGAGAGGAATGTGAGCAGGAACAGGCGAGAGAGCAGGGAGGGCACACAAGGCTGTTTATCTGGAGATAGCAGCCTTGGGGAAGCCGAGGAGGAGGGGCCGAGTTTCAAAACAAGTTGTGGACTTAGAGACTATAAAAACGGTGGAGAAAAGATGACTAAGAGGTTTTCTTTTGCCACTGGTTTTCTCCTCCTAATAACCAGCTCATCCCCAAATGCCAATGGTGTGTTACACACACACACACACACACACACACACACACACTCATCCTATCACCACAGCCCTGATAGTCCGATGAGTTACTCTGGTTCTCTTTCTTTAAACAATCTAGAAAGCTCTTTGGGTATTGTCAAGGCTAATCAATCAGAATTATGCTTATAACCAAGGGAATCTCATGACCCTTTGTTCATAAACTGCTTCAGATCGTGACTGAATGGTCATATCCAATAGGGCACGGCCTTGCTCTTCAGCAGATGAAAAAAATATGTGTACCCACGCGTGTGGTGGGGTTTTTACCTGGTTCAGCAGCTGTTCATGTCCCCCAAGTTTCCAGCTCCTGGCAAAGAAAAGCATGTTTAAAATTTCTAGGGCTCTGAGCATAATTACAGATTTTTGAAGCTTCTAGGGAGCCTAACCGATTCACTGCACAGATGATTAATTTGTGGCCCCAAGAAGTTGGCCAGATGAAGAACGGGTCACCCAGCTGGCTAGCCACAGACCCGGAGAAGAAACATGGGCCTCTAGGCTCCTTGTCCTGTGCTCCTCTGCGCAGGGCAGATTCTAGAAGATCTGTTTTTGCAGAATTTCCTTTCCACTCTGTAGTCATCTGATGGGTTTATTATGCAAAGTCTTTACCAGTCAAGCTCTCCCCAGCGCTCTCTACTCCTGCCCACACCTGCTCCTTACAAGGCTGCCCATCTGCACAGGGATGGGGCCAGAGTGCTCCACTCCCACAGGACACTTGTTCTTTTGCATTAAGCCCTTTCTCTTTGTCCCGAGGTTAATGCCTCTTTTCCTGGCCTCAATTTCCTTTTTACCTCTGTCTACTCACTTACCGTACTTCGTACACCAACACTTCTATACATTACCTTTAAATGAGGGAGATACAAAACAGAGCTCAGTGCAACACACAATACCTAAAAAATAATCTAAGGTTGTGTAACAATTCTATGTTCTCTCTGTGATCATGAGATGGCTGGGACCTTTGAGTCACATCAGTATCAAATCTCTCCTTCTGGAAATGAGCTCACATGACTCGCTCAAGAACAGTAGGCAGAGCTGGGAATAAACAGTCCCCACAGCGCCCCTGACTTTTCTTCTTTCTCTTATCCGCCACACTGACCTGAGCAAATCACAGTTTTCATCCTCTCTTCACTCTTGTCCTAACCCCTGGTGGAGATACTCACAGGCGACAAGTGGACTTGCCAGGAGCATTGACAGGATATGGAGAGGACCGACCGAGGAACCACCAAGTCTTGCACTGCTCGACACATTAGCCCCACGCCATAACTAAGTAGTTGAATTAAAATGAAATGAAATTAAAAATTTAGTTCTTCAGTTGCACTTGTCACCTTTCAAGTGCTGAGTAGCCACAGGTAGCTAGTGGCTAGCATAGTGGGCAACCCATGGAGCATCTCTCTCATCACAGAAACTTCTAGCAGACACCACTGCCAGACCCTTGGCCACCATGGAATAATAATAATAACTACCATTTATTGAGTCCCAACAGTATACCAGGCAAAATTGTTGGTGTTTTATGCCCGTTATTTTATTCATCTTCATAAAATTCATGAAGTATTATTTGCATCTGACAGAAGAAAGCACCGGTATTAAACATTCTTAATAATTTGTGTTCAGCAGTAAATGGCAGAAATATGAGCATGGACCGGTTAATGGCAAACTTTCATATGAACTCCAGTTTCCTGTGAGGAACCTTAAAGACTGACAATATTGCTAACATTTATTAAACCCCTACTACTAGGTGCTGGGCATTGTTCTCGTAAATAACATACATAAATGGCAGGGACTAACCTGTGGCTTCCAATTCCAATCCTCATTTGCAGGGCCAGTTGCTCTTTCTAGATGGGCTGTCAGATGTCTCTGCTCTGAAGGACCGGCTCCGTTTCACCTGGCTATTGGCCTGCAAGGTCTTTTGCTGTCTCGGCCAGGCTGTCATCACTAGAAGTCATCACAAAAGTCACGCTCGAGAAGACCTTGAAAGGAGTCCTTTGGCCTACTTTTTGGAGCAGTCCTACCTCAGCTCATCACAGGGTAACTTTAAGAGCATGCTATTGACAGTCCTTTCTTGACATTTGGTTGGCCCAGTAGAGATCCCTTCAGTCCTGGTGAGCTGGCAGCCTTCCAGGCATGTTGGTGACTCTGTCTCATCCTTTAATACGGAGCAGGTCTGGTAGGTGACCCCCATGAGCAGGCTCAAGAAGCTGGATGTGATATTTGCGGTGCTGGTCTATAGGTTTTTTTAGTCTGGTCTAGAACAAAGTGCCACATGGATACCAGACTCCGCCTGCCAGCCTCATTAAGATTGCCTGAAAATTTTTTGGTGGGGAGGGGTTTACTTTTCTACTTCTTTGATACTTTTAGAGCATTACTGCTATCTGAGAAGCAAAATCCAAGGGAGGTTTTCTCTTTTATTTTTCCGGTGAAATTCTTTGAACTACCAATGGGGTTTCATTGCATGGGTTAGTATTTAATCCTACTCAGCTTTTTGACTTTTTACACCCTGAGCAGTATTATAACTCTGCAGGATGGTCCAAAATCCTTTGAAGACTGATTCAGGTAGGGTAGCATAGCAGTCACCATATCACTTTGTAAATGGCTTTCTGAGAGAGTGGCCTGTGAGTTGTCAAGTTGGAAGGACCTCCTTAACACCTTGAAAGGTAGGCTTCTTGATGTACTCTGGAACCAGTCTCAAACTATTAGTGGTGTAGACTGGCTGTGGGGAATGTTTTCAAATAAGTGGTAGAATCTTTGTGGAATGCCATTGAGTTTCTGCAGTCAGATCAATAATAGGCCACATGTAAGTCAACTCACATTGTCAAAGACTCTTGTAAAATTGGTGAGTAAGTGCACTTCCTCTACATCACCTACCACAAACACCACAGGAAAGTCACTCCCACCTCACCACTCAGCCCAAACACACAGCTGCCTTTCAGAGGTACAACTGACCTGATTGTGCAATTGTTGGTTTGCTAGGATACCGACATGAATTGCTACAATAGGAAAGTGTGGCAGGTTCACAAGAGCTGTCTTATCATTCTCATATATTTTTTTTTTTCCTTCTAGAAAAGAATGATGAACTTGAAATCCTGCTGTATGTCCTTGGCACTCCACATAATAAAGAAAGGTAAATACAGCTATCTAAGTAGCTTCTTACATTTCAACTTGAAAATTTCCTCAGGTGCAGGCCCGTGACTACAATTCATGATTCCAGTTCCAGCTTCCTTGTTGGAACAAATTCTTATTTTTTTAACCTAAACTGGCATGGATACTCCAAGACATAGTACATTCCCTCTTGTGGAGAGACTCGAGCACAAGGTGATTGGCTATTTTAGAGGGAGTATTGTGAAGGGGATTTAAAAGCTAGTTGGGTGGTCAGACTAAATTACCCAATCAAAACCTGACAGGCTATGATTTAGCATGTTCCCTAGTCTGCAAATTTCTATATCCAGAATGTTCTACTCTTTAAACACATCATGCTTTTTTCTTCTCGGGGTCTTTGCCCACACTGTGTTTTTTCCTGGAATATCAACACATGGCTAGAGTGAGTGTGTTGAACAGTTTATTCAGATGTTGATTTAAATGTTTTCTTCTTAGCAAAGTCATTACTAACCCCCCGATCAGTGCAGGCACGCCATGTTATTCTCTGTCTCTGAATCCATTTAAATTTTTCCACAGAATTTATGCCGTTGTGAATCTACTTAGAGTTTTCTATGGGTTGATTGCCAGTGGACTCATAAGGAGGAGCCCATGTCTGTTTCATTCATTAATATATATATCTGTGCTTAGTATAGAATAGACATTGAAACAATTGTTGAATGTGTGACTGATGAATAAATATTAAAATCAGATTAAATTTATTTATAGAATCTAAGCTGCAGGATTTTTGGGGTGGCAGACATGTTGAGAGACACCCCACTCCATCATTTATCAGCAAAACATAAATACCCTCAGTTTCTTTTTTTCCTTACCCTATAAGATTGGTTGAGCTACGTAAATGTCTAAGCACTACATGATAGCTGTTTTGATTAGGTTACACACTGGGACTTGTGTACTGTCCAATCAGAAATCCCAGCAAAATAAAAAAAAAAAAAGGACTTGTGTTGTGTTGCTTTGTGTTTGTTTGTTAAACAATATCCAGGGCTTGGACGATACTGATAGTCTACCAGTTCCTTCCCAGTTCATCTGAAACAATCTTACCATCCTTCGGACTCCACATACCTCCAGCTTGTCTGACCGGAGTGGTGGATCCTTGAAGTCTTCCTCGGCTCCTGTGGGTGGACAATGACCCTGCCTGTCTGACTCGTGGTCACCATGGTGACCTCTCCAGGTGGGGGCTGGTCACATTAAATATGATAGGACCAAAGTAGAAGGCACCAGTGACCAGATGCATCAGGAACAAAGAGGGAGGAAAGCAGGGTCCTGAAAATAGAAATCACATCAAAAAATAGATGACGAGTTGATAATGCCTTGAGGCCTTTGTTCAGGAACACTCTGGCACTATAAAGGGAAGAATGACAGCACAGTATTCTTCTGTGAAGCATGAGCTGGTTTTTCTTCAAGAGTTCTTCCCAAAGAAGGCCTTGTGGGTTGTGGCTAACTCTGTTTTCCATTTTTATCTAGATTTGTTCTTTAACGCGAATGTTATTCTTTTTCCAAGGATTGCTGTATCATCACATTAAGAATAAGATAAACAAACTTGACAAAAATTCACTGGAAACAATAAGTGTGGTAATTGCATATTCTCGTCCTAGGTATTCCTTTTTTGTTCTCAATTAAAAGCAGTTCCAGCAGTTGTGTATGGCTGTATCATTTGTTCACCTTAAATAAATACTTTGGAATCTAAAAATATAGCAGAAATAAAACTTTCTGAAAAAAATAAAAAAACTGAAACTTAGAATCACATCAAAAATAAGAAATGGATTTTTTTAGGGGATCAGGATGGCTTTCAAGAGGTGGAGGTTTCCTGACAAACCAACACTGTTAGGGCCCTAATTCTGGGGAGTGTAAGGGTTTGTACAAAACAGCCTCAGACCGCTGAACAATAGAGATGCCCAGTCAGATATTGCAGATTTGCTTAGACTTAACAAAATTACGGGTTCGCTGTACTCACTGGCAGATAGTTCACAAAAGAACAGGATCTCAAGTAGCATTTGGTCAGCTCAAGACTATTACCTAGTAAGTCATTTTAATTCATTCTGCTGAAATGAAACACGTGATTCCGAACGAGGACTAACAGTAGAAAAGCATGAGACCGCTACTAAGCAGAGTCGTGCACAAGACTGAGCCCGCCACTTAGGCGCTCAGCCTCAGCTACACGCTTCTGTCTACAGGGGACTGAGAGAAATGACCGGGAGACTTCTGGAAGAAGCCAAGTGACCTGACCCCTGGAACTTTCATAGTTATATGAAATAGACCAGTTCTACATCCCTCAGGACATGGTAACCTGTCTCTCTCCCACCCGACCTACAGGCTAGTCAGCAGCAGGCGTCTAACCTGAAGAGTGAAAGATCTGACACAGCTTCCTTTTCTGTGCTCACATTCCCCCCATGACACGCCGCAACCAGCACAGCAGAACAGACACACTCGTAATAAGACCAAAAAGCAGCGACGGTGCTGGCAATTTTACACCAGGACCAAGTACTAGGACCGGCTGTGGGGAGAAAGGGCAGGGAGGGGCGGGAATACCCTACGCTCAACCCTTCCCAAAAGCAGAGCTTAGGGCTACTCCTAGCTCAGTCCTGCTGGGAGACTCTAGCTTGAGCCTCCCCCCATAGATCCTTTGGCGGTGGGACCTTCAGAGGAGGTCAACGAGGGCCTTTTAGACTCAGACACGTATATGGGACCGTAATTGCAGAAGTGAGGGGACAGGACCCTTATTACCAGCCCCACCTCAGTCGATAGAAACCCTATGGCTCTCCTGAATGTTGCTGAATTAGTCATCTAGTATTAATACATCTAATATAGCATCTCTACCTTTTAAATAAGCCTACTTTTTTTTTTTTTTTAAATCTCAAACAGTTTTTCTGTGAGTCAGGAATTCAGGGATGGCTGAACTGTGTGGTTTGGGTTTAGGGTCTCTCATGTGGCCAAGATGCGAGCCAAGGCTACAGTCATCTGAGGGCTCGATTGAGGTTAGAGGATCTACTTCATCCCAGCTGATGCCCTCACATGGCTGGCAGGCTGCTGCTGGCTGATGGCAGAATCAGCAAACGGCTGTTCCCGGATACGTGGAGCACTCCACGTGATTGCTTGAGTATTCTCATGACATAGTGGCAGGCCTTCCCCACCGTGAGTGATAGAAGAGAGAGCAAAGTAGAAGTCACAATGTGCTTTCCGTGCTAGCCTTGGAAGTCACACACTGTCATTTTGTAATACTCACTTTGGTCACACAGGTCAGCTCTGTTTAATAAGGGAGGAGACTACACCAGGACAACAATCATCAGGAGGCAAGGCTTGGGGGCCATCTTGGAAGCTGCCTATTGGCCATACCACTGTCCAAGGGAATTGGTCCACCCTTTGACTGATCTTCTCCCAAAAGCTATACAAATCTGATGCTCGTGGGAATGTCCAAGTGTCCTTTTAGAGAAGGGTCAGCAGCTCCTGACCTCCCACCCACCTCAGGTTGGTGCCCGCCCACTACATGCCACACCCTAGTCACCACACTTCTGCTTTGGTGGCAGCATGCACACAGTCAGTGCTAAGGAGTCACCAAGGCACTGATGATAAGCCTGGCACACACCACGGCTTAGAATGCAACTTTAAAGCAAGCCCTACCCCTAGAGAACTTTCCAGCTGGAGTATCGCTCTAAAACGGGCATCTGGTGGCCCCCAAAAGTTCACAAGCCTTTTTCAGTGTCTGAATTATACCTGTGAGGCTCTGAGGAGAATGTGGCCTCACTGGATTTCTGCTCTCTTCCTGTAGGAAAAATAAGCCTTGCTGACTCAGATGGGAGTAGAGAGGCTAATTGTTAGCTGTTGCTGGGTTCACCTTTGCTGAATGGCTGTGGAAATTCCAGTGAACTTCCATTATCTTCTGCAAGACAATCTAACCTAATTTCAACTGTCAAATGGAAAATTTTTAATTTACTTAAGAGATAAGTACACGATAGGCAGTTTATGTATACTATCTCCATTAGTTTTCACAGAAACCATGTGAAGTAAGAATCAGACCACCATTTTTTATCAAGGAGCAGACTGAAGCTCAGGGACCTTAAATAACCTGCCCAATTTCCCAGCCAGCAAATGAGGTATCTAGGATTCCAACCTGGGTGTGTCTGACTGGGAAAACCCATGTAATGCGCTCTAGCAGAACTCTCCTAAGGAGGAAGGCCTACAAAACCAGCGAGGATGCATATCCGGGGAGAGGATGAAGAGAACCTAACATTAGCCACAGCCCAACCTCAGGGGCAGGAGGAGGGCCTGGGGCTGAGGCAGCAGGGAGACCCATGTCATCTTCTGTTAGGGGTGGCGGGTCTGAAGACGTTCCCTTGGATCTCCTCTTCCAACCCTTCTCAGGTCTCGGCAACAATGATTCCAGATCTGTCTCAAGGGCAGCAAACTGCATCTCCCTCCCTCTCTAAGGAGAGTCAGGTTGTTAATAATAATAGTTACTGTAGCCAGGCCTCCTGCTAAGTTAAGTACCACTTTTAAAAAATCCTCACAACATTCCTATGAGGTAAGTATTACTGCCGCATTTTATAGCTAGGGAGATGGAAGCTCGGGGAGTTTAGGAACAGCCCCAAGGTCACAAAGCCCCAGGTGTTAATGCTCACGTTTCAACCCAGGCCTCTGACTTTAGGGCCATCAGGAATCTCAACACCATGTTCTACTAGACAGAGGTTGGGGGTCGTACGACCGCGTGGCCGTTCAGCGCCGCGAACTGACAGCGCCAGCCCCCGACGCAGGAGGGGCAGGGTTTGGTGGCTCTTCTCGGAAGGAGGCCTGCTGATGGCGCCAACCGGAGCCAGGCACCCACAGGGGACCCCGCTGCTCCGGGGCTCGGCCAGACCCTGTTGGTGGGGACGTGGCCCCGCCAGCAGGTCCTGCCCCCAGTCGGAGGGCAGCCCCGCGCCCGGCTGCACAGCGTTTGAGATGGGCTGGGGCTCCGAAGCCCGCGACGGCTGAGCGGGGGAAGGACGCGTCCAGGCTCTGGCGAGCTGAGGCACCGCGGCGCGTGGGACTCCGCACCGCGATCACCATTTTCCCCCCAGTGGTCGGTTCGCTCCTTTGGCGGCCGCCACGGCCGCGGGGCGAGGCCGGGGGAGGGAAGTGAAGGGGCGCCCCGCTCCCGGGCAGCGAGACCCTGGAGCCTTTGTGTATTTGGAACCGGATTCCCCACCTACCTTCCCCGCCTTCCATTCCCGCTTTCTTTTCCCCTAACCCAAGTCCCAGTAGAGTATCCAGCAATTAGCACGTGAGGAGGGGGTGGAAGACGGCGGGCGGGCGGGCGGGCGGGCCGGGGTGGGGGCGGCGGGACCCCCTGCTCCCGTCTCCCCACCGAGCCGGGATCAGCCCCTCGTTCCCGCCTGCGCTGCCTTCGTGCGCCACCTACCGGCTGCTATGGGCCGCTGCGAGCCCACCAGAGCTGTTCCTAGGCAGATCTTGATCTCCGTGGACAATAGACAATGGGATTTTTTTTTTTTTTGAACAATGATTTATTTTGGGGGGTGGGGATAAGGAGGAAGGAGGGAGGGAGGAAGCAGCAGTGTGTTTGTCATCGCTTTAGAAAAAAAAAATCTCTGTTCTATCATTGTTTCTGCATATCCATTATATTGAGGACAAAAGAATCCCGTTCTGGAACAACAAAGCCAAGGGAAATGTTTTCTGTGGCTGACATTTAATTGTGTGCACAAGGTGCTACATTATCATGCGGAGAGATTGTAGAAAGGAATAGGGCACAGCTTCAGTTCAAACCCCTGACTTTTCTGCTTTAAGATGTGGGCTTTCTTACCCGAGTCCCATTTTATATAGCCTCACAGATCTCATGCATGGTATACACCGCACGCAATTCTGTGTTTCTGTATGGTTTTCCAACCCATCACAAGGCTTTCTTGTGGGTGATTTTCACACCACCTCCCAAGTCTGTTCTTTTACAGCTAAGAGGGATAATCACACTTTGCCTCACAACCTCTTCACACGGTCCTTACCAAGACAATCCTAATTTTTAGGAGCTGTTAGGAAGCTTGGGGAAGACTTAGTCCCACCTCTGGTTTTACAGATGAACGACAGAGAGATGCCTTGACCAAAGTCACGCAAGTAATTAGAGATGGAGGCAGGATCAGAGCCCTTGTGTCCTGAACTCTGGTTTCTATTATGATCTACTGTTTGATGTCCTGATGCCCAACACCCTCTGACTTGCTCACCCTCATGGCCTCTTTTCCTGGGTGGGATGGGGGGCAAGCCCACACACAGTGAGCTGTGCTCCACAAAGATGGGTGATAAATTGGGGGTGGTTGTGGGGGGATGGACAGATGTCCCCCTCTTTACCCCTTTCTCTCTGTCTGATGAAGAAGGGGGGCAATGTGGATATCCTTTTCATTTGTTTATTTCATTATTTTGCTGTGAGTTGATATGTAAAACCTATGGTAATCACCCAAAACTCTCCAGAAAATGCTTTTCCTGGGTTTCATGAAGGTCTTGAGCCCCCACCCTGACTCAAGGCTAAGCTGGTTACTGGGAACACAAGAAAGGTTTTCCATCTTTGAAAACTGCTCAGGTCTCTTGGCAAGAGTGGTTTGCCCT